TAATGATTCAAAGGAAGGCAAAATCAGTCCCTGCCTTCAACGAGGTCACAGTCTTATTGTGGAAAAAGCCTGCAAAACAACTGTTCACAAACAAGACGTATACAGAATAAATTGGAGGTAACCTCACAGAGAAGGCATGACAGCCCCTTGCACCCCTCCCTACTCACTATCCAAAAAGGACCAGGAAAGGCTTCCTGTAGAAAGGTGGAGGCAGAATTCTAGGCAGGTGCAAACAGCCAGTGAAAATGCAGTCGGGTTACAGCTGTTAGATGTGGGAAGAACTTTGGGTTGGCCTTTGTCACTGGATTCTAGAGTAGGTGGAGGGGAGTAAAGGGCAAGGGTGCAGAGGACCAGTTATGGAATGCTTTAAAGTCAAACAGTAAGTTCTGTTTTGGATCATCAAGAAAAACAAATAATCAAATACACATCTTTAAAAAAGGAATAAAATAATATATAAAAATATTTCATGTATTATATGAACACTTTAACAAAGTACATCCAAATTTAAAAATTGTTTGCTCTGTGTCTCCAGACTGAGTCTATAAAAAAATTACCAGTGGATATGACTTAGACTTAACAAAGAGTTTTGGTTCTATAAGATTATCTAAGAGGAACAGAAAGAACGAACATGAAATTTGGGGTGGGGGGAGAATGGTGCCTTTGCCTGAATCAGGACAGAAAATGCTTATCCTCTTTTGATGGAGAAGTGCAAACAGTATGGTCCCCAGGGATCAGTCTTACTGGTAGGAGAACACCAATCCGATGGCTAATATTTATATAATAGTTAGCAATTATACAGCTCTTTACAAATATGTCATTTTAATCCTTACAATAACCCTGGAAGGCAGGTGCTATTATTATCCCCCTTTTACAGATAAGGAAACTGAAGCAGACAGATTCCGAGTGACTTGCCCAGGTTTATATACCTATTAAATGTCTGGGGTAAGATGTGAACTCTAGTCTTCTTGATTCCAGATCCAGTGGTTTATCCATTGTACCACCAAGCTGATGGGAAAGAAACTACTGAAAAAACGTAAAGAGTTTGTGTCTTGAGTTTGTGTATGGGTAGAAAAGGGACAAGAGGTGCTTCAGTGTCAAGGGCAAGGTAACACATTTGAAGGAAAGGTATGCTTATGGGGCTTTCAGTCAACATTTTTGACCTAAGAAAGGGATCATGGAGTTATCAAGATTATTCTCTGAAGGATTTATCCTAAAGTCCTACAAAAATGCTGGGCATCATCAGGAATGGTAGCTGGAAAACTATATGGAAATGTGGTTGCTGTGCAAAGAAAGACATGTAAGGCACTGTAGAAAGTCTTGAGAAGTATTTGTATAGTCAGGTCAGCCATAGGGAGTGGGTATAACAGTGGACTAAGTGAATGAAAAAGCTGATGTAGGTTGAACATCATCTATAAGGATGAAATCTCTACAATTTGGAAGGAAGGCTGAGAAGGAATATGATTGAAGTCCACAAAATCCCAAAGGGCATATAAATGAATGCAGAATTGTTTAGTAAATCTAGGCCATGAGAACTGGAGGGTAGAGCAGCAACATACCTTGAAATCTGACAGAACTGACTTGAAAATAAATAAAAGGAAATATGACTTTGTTAATCAAGTAGTAAACTTATGCAACTCATTGTTTCATAATGTTATATGGACTAAAGTATCAAAAGGTTGAAAATTTTCTAATCAGTAATCATTTATTGAGTGCCTACTGTGGACATTAAATCTACCCTATGCTATTAAGGAAAATGGCATACCTCCCTTGGGTAGCTAGGTATAGCAGTGGATTAAGCACAGGCTCTGAAATCAGGAAGACCAGAGTTCAAATCCAGCCTCAGACACTTACTATCTGTATCACCCTGGGGAAATCACTTAACCCTCTTTGCCTCAGTTTCCTTGTCTGTAAAATGAGTTGGAGAAGGACACTGCAAACCACTATAGTATCTTTGCCAAGAAAATCCCAAATTGGGTCACACAGAGTCAGACGTGACTGAACAACAATAATTACATACCTCCCTAACCCTTTGAAGTTGCTGGAGCAACCAGATTCTCCCACAAAATGTTATTCATTGCCTTTGCAGGAGAAATTATGCTGTACTAATTGACTCAGTATGGTAGTTCCTATGTAGGATAGTTAAGCTCTAACATTTACTCACTTGACATAATTAAATTGGATTTGGAGATGTCTCCTGGTGCCTAAGTCCTTGGGAGTGTACTTATGTCTGTGATGGTACCCAACACGTATCTTACTGCACATGTGTGCTTATGGCTAAATAGGGGACAATGACATGAGCCTCCAGAACACCATGCTTAACTGGAATAAATGTTACAGATTACTGCCTCCCTCATATTTAGAGCAGAGTGTTAGCCTGTGGAGAAACAAGTTATGACAAAGCATGCTAGTTGACTGAATCATTGAGACTAGGGACAAAAAAAAAAGCTCACCCTCTGCTATCTCTGAATTCCACCCATACTTCTCTTGACATTTACATTCTTATAAATGGATTTGACCATTCATTTTATTCATCCATTCAGCCAACTTTCACTGGAAACTTTACTGTGTATAAGAACTACAATGAAACAGAAACATGAGTAAGTCATGGCTTCTGTCCTTAAAGAGCTTATAATCCATGCTAGTTGCATGCCAGTCTTTTTCTTGGGTTGCGTGGGTTGTATCTGTTAACTCCAACAGTGGTGTATACAGGACTTTGTGTTATATAAACGAATCTGATTCTTGTAGTAGGCAAGACCTCAACCTAAAATCTTTGTCAACACATTTTGTTTGTGTGCTCTTCAGAAGTAAATGACTTCTCCATTCTGAACCTCAGTTTCCTCACCTGTGAAATATCCAGTGATACTTATATTGCTGTCTTCCGTCTGCCAATATGTAGGGTGATACATTTTTTAACCACAATACCTTTTGAATACCAGATCTGAAATTTCGGAGAAGTTTCAATCTGTACTGAAAGAGGGAACAACCAAAGGAACGGAAATACAGTTAGGTGATGTAAGTGAACAGAGGGTACAAGTTGGCATCAGGAAGTTCTGAGTTCAAAGCCTGTCTCAGACACTATTTGTGTGACCCTAGAGAGGTCACTTAGCCTCTATCTCCCTCAGTTTCACCACCTGTAAAGTGGAGATAGTAATAGCACCTACTTCCCAGGGTTGTTGTGAGGATCAAATGAAATATTTGTGAAGCACTCTGTAAACCTTAAGGTACTTTAATCAAGAAGTTAAGGGCTATTCTTCAACTAGACCTAAAACACTCTAGTTTTCAACGATTCTGGTCAAGTCACTTTATTTTGTGAGCCTCAGTATCTTCATCTGTAAAATGGGGATAATACCTTTGCAGCACAACCAATCTTGCAAGTTAAAAAGCCCACTATGTACAGGTGTTTAAAAATTATACTAAGACTTTTGGGACACCCTGTATATAAGCAATTATTATTACAGTAAGTTTACCAAGAAACAGGAATCTTTTTTTTAAAGCACTAAACTAGCATCATAAGATCATGGATTTAGAGCTGAAGAGAACTTGAAGGCTATAGCTAATTCCAATTGCCTCATTTTACCAATGAGAAAACTGAGGTGCAGAGAGGTTAGGTGTGTTGCTCAAGGTCACAGAGCTAATTTCAAATCAGGTCTTGACACCAAATCCAAAGCTGTAGTCACTGCAGTTGGCTACACAAAGAGCAGTGTGTAGGTATATGGTGGAGCAGGAATAGCTTTCAACATTTTATTCTGGTCAATCAATATGCATTTATTAAGTGCCTACTATATGCCAGGAACTGTACTAAGAGCTGGAGATACAAAAAGAGGCAAAAGACAGTTCCTGCCCTCAAGGAACTTACAATATAATGGGGGAGACAATATACAAACTAGATATACACTGGAATTAAGAGAAGTTAGAGATGGCTTCCTGCAGAAGGTTGGGTTTAGATTGGGACTTAAAGGAAGCCAGGGAGGTGGGTAATCTAAGTCCAGGAGAAAGAGCATTTCCAGCATGGAGGACAGAGAAAATGGTTGGAGCTGAGAGATGGTGTGTCTTGTTCATGGAACAGTCAGAAGGCCAGGATCTAAGAGTTAAATGGTGAGGCATAAAGTGTAAGAAGACTGGGAAAAATAGGAGGGGCTAGATTAGAAGGGCTTTGAATGCCTAACAGAGCATTTTGTATTTGCTCCTGGTCAAAGGGTAGCCAGTGTAAAAGATATCAAAAGATTGACATATGGCCCTGAAAAGTAGCTGGCAGTAGGAAAAGGGATGGATCATTGAAGTACATACACCCCATGGATTCCACTGGTACCTACAGGGTGGGTGACCAGACGAAAGCATCCAGTGGGTTGGGTGGACCCCTTGTGGGGGACTTGGGGAAGTACACGGGATGGGAAGGCATGAGTAGGTTCTGAGCTGTACTGCGGGATGCAGACGTATGAAAGGAGGAAAGCTTGCTGAAGGTTATCCTCGTCTGTAAGACGAGGAAACCAGGCAGACGTTATGCCCACGGTCATCAGTAGGTTGCTTCACGCCCTCTGGACCGGTCACACGAAACTCTATAATAAATGCTTCGGAGGGTGGGGTCTGATGACCTGGGCTGGTCAGCAGCTCATTTCGGTCCTGAGATGGTCCTGAGCCGCAGCTCGCGCATGTCCGAAGAGGTCTCAGCTGGACTGTCCAGCAGTGGGGCAGCATGTAGGGACCCTCTAGGGAACTGCAAACACGTCCACCCCGCTCTCCCAAGGCCAGGACTGTGGGGCGGAGCCCAGTCGGAGCCCACTTCCTCTGCCCCCGAGGTGCCGAGAGCCCTGGTGCTCACGTGTTCCTGGTAACCCGGCGCAACCACAAGCCGGGGAGAGCCCCGGCATCCAGCGAAACCGAGGGTTCCGATTGGCTGCCGAGGAGGGGGCGGAACCCATCGGCCTTGGGGGCCCACCAATGGGCAGGGCGGGCCGACGTCACGCGCGTGACGTCAGGAGAGGGACGGCAGCCAGCGTGGGGGGGGGGAGGGGGGCGGGAAGAACCAGGAGTAGCCCGGGCAGCTTTATCTCCTTGGTCCCGGGGCCAGCAGCGCCAGAGTGGACCGGGGCTTCGGCGGGCTTCAGGGGGGCCCAACGGCTGAGTGCGCCGCCGTCACCCAGGTGAGGGCCTCCTTTCCCTCCCCTCTCCCTCCTTCCCTCCCGGGCGGCCAGCCGGCGGTGTACGAGCCCTGTCCGTTGTGCTGGTCCGAAGGATGGGGGGCACCACGGCCACGGTCCCCACCTCCGCCCTAGCCCTGGGGCATCGGCGGCCCGGCTCGGACGAGCAGCGACCCCCCGCTTGGGCAGGCGGGAAAGTTCGCTCTGCGCCGCAGCAGGACGAATGGGTAGGGATTTAAGTCCCAGCCACGTGCGGGACCCCCACCCCGGGGGTCGCGCCCGGTGACCGACCGCCTCAAGGAAAGTTGTTCCCAAGCAGGACGGTTCATCTTACAAGCGGAAAAGCCCGAGCAGTACCCGGGTTTGCAAAAGCCTCTATGGTCCTCCACGCGCGGCCCCCGCGAAGTGGGTGAAGGTCGGGAGTAAGGAGGCCTGTGGGTCCGCGGGGGCTGAGCGCCCGAGGTTTTTAAAGGAGACCCAAACCCCTTCTGTGTAGCCTTTGGTTTTTCTCAGTTCAGTTTTAATCACGGTGGTAGCAGACCAGCTTTTAGAGAGTGTTTTAAAAGTTACGCGTTGATTAAGCGTGTACTGTTGGGCAAAGTAAGTTTTGGGGATACAGAGGAAGGCAAAAAAAAAAAGAAAAAGAAAAAAAGCTTTTGTCAAGGAGCTCAGTCTAAGTGGGAAACAGCATTGGCAAACTATGTAAATATGATACATGCGGCATAAATTGGAGATAATAGAGGGAAGCATTAAGGTACTAGAGAAAAGCTTGTAAAAAAACCCTGAGACTCGAAGACATTCAGGGAAGCCAGGAGGGATGTGTCTATGAAAAACACAAAACTTGGGGAAAGGCTAGGAACGCTTATATTAAATATGGGCTAAGTACAGTTGGCAGGAGTTAATATTTAGTAACCTTCTCTGTGTATGCTGCTATCACACTTGTTTTTCTTTTTTATTTTCCGTTTATGTTCTTTGAGGCTAACAGGGTGCTATAAATTGAAGCAAAGTTAGGGGGTGGCTATGAATGACTTGGCCGTAATGACTTGTCATTCGCCTGGGGATCAGGATGTATTGTTGGGGGAGGGTGATGCCAAGGTAAATAAGTGAAGACTAAAGGGCATTAGAAGGATAAATGCAGTTATTAATGGGTGCTCCTGCCCTAGCTTCTAGGCTTATAAAAAGAATATGTACATTGTTTCTAAAAAAAGGAAATATCCATGGTTGCATTACTTGGATTTATGTCATAGGTGACATGGCCTTTGCTGTGGAAGGAATGTTTGCCCTAACAAGATGAGAATATCAACGTATTGTCAATGCTTGAGTTATTCTCATTAACTCTTTCAGTATTTCATAAAGATGTCAGGGAACTCTACAAGGACAAGTAACTGGGGGGTATTTCAAACTAAACTTGAAAAATCTTATCAGTTAACAAGTGGTAGGCACCTATATTTGCTACATTTAAACTAGATTCTGGACGCACAAGTACAAAGAGTAGAACAGATGGAGTGTGTTAAGTGAGGGACAGAGAGAAGGCCAGTTTGGCAAGATTGCAGTGTGAGGGGGGGGAATAATGTCCAGTGAGGATGGAAAGTTGAGGTGGGGCGTGAAAACCCCGAGAGGAGAAAGTATCCATCCAGAAGATGAAGGTGATGAGGAGGATTGGGACTCTTGAGGGAAAAAAACCACATCAGATTTTTATAATTAATAGTTAGTTGGTAGTATTGGAGAGAGCTGTTTCAATTGAGCGGTGAAATGGGAAGCCAGATTTTTGAGAAGTTGGAGCAAAGGAAGTGGAGGCAGGATGTGTAGGCAACTTTTTCAGAGTTTGACAGAGGGAGGAAAGATTTAGGATGGTAGTTTGAGCAGTTAGTTGTATCTAGTGAAGGGTTTTTTTGTTTCTTTTTAAGGATGGGGAGACAGAGTCAGTTGCTACATGTTGAAGAATCGAGAAGGAGAATGATTGAGGATGCAGTCCCCGGCAGAAAATAGAAGGGAATAAGATGGGGTGCACACATACAGAGGGATTTACTATAGCTACCTGGTGGGGGTAGGGAAGAGGGTATGCTGTAGAGAATGGGAGAAGAGGGCACTCGAATCAAATGGTTTCAGTTTTCTTATTAAATTAAGAGACTAGGTCTTCAGCTGAGAGAGAGGAGGAGGTGGTATGTGGGAGGCTTGAGGAAGGAACTATTGCTAGTTCCCATTCTCCCTCCTAAACCCCTCCCCCGCATTCCTCCAGTGGGGGCGGGGAGAAAAGGAAGATCCTTGTAACAAATAAGCATAGTCAAGCAAAACACATTGGCCAATACCTAAAAATTGGCTCATTCTGTTCTTGGTGGGCACCACCTCCATCACGAGTGGTGTGTAGCTTGCTTAATCATCCATCCTCTGGATTTAACAAGTATTTGTGCTCTATGCAAGGCTTTGTGATAGGTAGGCCCTCGAGATAGACGCAAAAACTACACAGCCCCTGCCCTCTAAGAACCTTCAATTTACTAGGTGGATGCCACATGTACACTAAGTAAATCCTGTTAATCTGAGGAGGGAAAGAAGGCTTAATAATTGAGGGCTTCAAAGATGTCTTCTTGGAGAAGGTAATAACTGAGTTGAACTTTGAAAGAAGACAGGGATCTCTGAAAGGTAGAGGCAAGGAGGGGAATGGAATGTATTTCAAGCACCCACAGAAGCAGGAGATGTGATGTTGAATTTGGGGAACAAATAGTCTAGTTTGGCTAGAATGTACAGTTTATGAAAGTGAAGTAAGGCTGGAAATTTAGATTAGAACCAGATTGTGGGGGATCTAAACCCTAGATAGATCTATAAAGTATTAAGCAGTTACTATGCAGGTGAAGTGCTAAGTGCTTATATAACCCTGACAGCCCCTGTCCACAGGGCATTTACATTTTAATAGCAGAAGTTGTTAAGGGGAGATTAGAATGGGAAGGTGTTGAGTGGTAGGTGTGGTGTGGAGAAGGTGGGAAGTGATCTAGTATCTGATTCTAGGCAAGGTGAGGCAATGACTTTTCCATTGCTAAATGCAGAGTCCAAGGTTCTGGCGGGAAGGAGATGAGGATGAGGATGAGGGCTGGAGTACACTCAGCATGGCGTGGAGATGGCAACATGAAAAGCTAATTAGCTAAGGGGACTATTTTGTATTTTATTCTAGAGGCAGCAGGGAACCACAAAATATTCTTGTGTAGGGAAGTGACACGGTAGGATGTGTGCTTTGGAAAGATTATTTTGACAGCCATATGGATGATGGGAGAGAATAGAAGTAGCTAGGCCAACCACCAGGCAATTGGAGTTATCCAGGTGGAGAGTGTGGAGGGAGAGGATAGTAAACAATATTAAATGTTTAGAGGAGGATAAGTTAGTTGCTTGAGGGCTGAGACAAAGCCAGTGTTCTGATGACCTTAGAGTGAATTTGGTATAGTGGAGGGGACATAAGCCAGATTGAAATGGAATCAGGTAAGGGAGTGGGTGCTGAGGAAATTTGTCTGTGAAAAGAGAGAGCAGAATTAAGGTTTTTTGTTTGTTTTGTTTGGTTTTTTAGCAATGGGAAATCTGAGCTCAGTTGTAGGCATAGAACAAGTTAAGACTGTAAAGGGAGATATTGAAGATGAAAAGGAATAGTAATTCATGGTAAGAGATTTTGGAGAAGGTTAGAATAAGGCTGCACAGGTAGAAGGAAAATAGGAGGGCCACCTTTTCCTCGGAGATAGCTGAGAAAAGGAGTGGGTTAAAATGGCAACTTCTTTTTTAGCTAGGCAGTGGGGTTAAGTGACTTGCCCAGAGTCACCCAGCTAGTGAGTGTTATGTGTCTGAGCCGAATTTGAACTCAGGTCCTCCTGACTCCAGAGCCAGTGCTCTATCCACTGTGCCACCTAGCTGCCCCCTAAGGCAACTTCTAGAGTGTGCGAGAGGTGAGTTGGAATTATTTTTTACTTCAGTCTGGGTAAAGTAGGAGTTGAAATCACCTGCTAAGAGGGATTGGGGGACTTGGAAATTGGAAAAAAGTCTTTTGATGTTGGTTTTTAAAGGTTATCCTAAAAGAGGAGTTGAAAAAAAATATCTTGAGCTGTGGCAGGATTGTTGGAATAGGTGCTGATCCTCCCAGGGAAACTCCTTGGAAAATCTTACAAAGAATAGTTTTTGGAGACCTAGAGGTCAGAGTATTCTGAAGCTGATAAGGAGAGCTAAAGAAAATGAAAAAGAAAAACTGGGGGAGGTGAAGAGGAAGGTGAAATAAAGACTTGGAAGGGGAGGGGTGAAGTGAAGCTGTTGGACAATGGAAAGAAGATGGAGCTGCTTAATTTTTTTTCTTTAGTTTTCTTTGCCAAGGACAATGGCCCTTGAGTTGTAAAGAACAGAACAAAAAATAGCTATTAGGAAATCAAAAGCCAGCTTAGATCATCAGGAAGATAGAGCACCTAGCTTCCCTCACGACTTCCAAGCCATCAAGCTTAGGAAGCAATTTCTGTCTCAGCGATGTCTGGAGCACTTGTGATCTCTTAGGGCTTGTGGAGAGCAGGAGAGGCACTATAGCACTAGAGTATTGTCAGACAGGGAAGAGAATAGATTTTGCTGAATGAGCTTTGCCAATGAGTTTGTCATCAGTTTCTGTCTGGCAGATTTCTTGATCTAGGCCTTCTAGAGGTTAACTACTGAACATCTGAAAAAGGAAGTAGGCTTTATGAAGAAAGAGTATACAAAACTGACTTTTCCTTTTTTTTTTAATGAGGTTATTAGATGAGTACTTAAGAGAAGTGCTGTTATGTGTAGTTTACAGAATCATAGATATTAAGTTTAATCTCTTGATGGTCTCAGCTATCATCTCTATGCAGATGACTTCCAGATCTGCATCTCCAAGCCCCATCTTTCTCCAAACGTTGCCTCCGTCTCTGGGTGTCCCCATGAATATCTCAAACTCAGATGTCCGGAGTAAAGCACAGTATCTTGTACCCCAACCCCACCCCTGTTTCACACTTCCCCGTTTTTAATAA